TGACACAACGACAGAGACGTTGCCGCTTTCAAAAGTTTGCAACCTGGAACCTGTTTTCAAAACTTTGTGTTTTCAGGCACCCAAAAAGCTGAAGTCGTGTACACAAAAAGTAAAAACGAAACAATTGGTTACCATTGTTGTCTGAAATCATCATGTAAACAGGGCTTGAATATCCTGCACCCCAGTTTTAAGTAGATTTAGTTGATATCGATATTTTGCAAACAGATGCCTGCTTTCAAATCCAGGGATAGAGAAACAGTATGTAACGAGATTCAAATCATTGTTAAGTCATGTTGCGATATACCTGACAAACCTACAAGATTCTGAAATGTTCCATAGAGCCGAGCTGTAGATTAATGTGATAATTAATTACAGTTGAGAACAGGAATCCTTCCTCTCGCTCTTCAAGTTGGCAGATTTAAAAGCAGAACATTGACAGTGTGAACTATGTGACTTGAGAGACATTGAGAATAAATCTCATTTTCTTTGTTATTGTTCTTTTTACAATGAGTTAAGAAGACCTTGACTACATGAAATAGCGTTTTGCATTCAAGTAATCCCGTAAGCCATTGTGCATAAAAAGCATTGATTAAAGCAGCTTTATGAATAGTGCATGAACATCTTTTTATTTCCGATGTATGTGAAACTGCAGCACTTCCCTCCATGACTGAGCCGCTCTGACAGCACGTGTTTCACTGAATGGACACAGTGTCCTCCTTCAGCAAGCTGTGGTGTCCCTCCCAAGCTTCATCTCCCCCCTCTGTGTCTCCATCTGACAGACCTGTAGGAGTGATGGCAAAGACTCCTCTCTGGATTGTTTTACTTCACTCCCTGATTTTCTACAACAGATCGTGTTTGCTTGTTTTGCGCCCGTGTGACCCCTGATCCACTGTGAATAATTACAGTTCTGCTCACATAAATAACACAAAAGTCAGAAAATATTGTCCCAATTAAAACAAGCAGAGCAGGGTTTACTTTTAGAGCCATGACATTAAGTTTATTGGGCTCATTTAGCTGATCAGCAAATCATTTTTTGACTTTCTCCCATTAAACTGCCAGTAAATAAAGACATCTCTCCAACTTAATCCTTTCGTATCAATTATGTTCCTACAACTGCAAATGAAATGCTGCATTAAATGAAATGCTTTTTTTTATTGGATAAAAAACCTCTGTTGCAGAGGGAGAGCAGATTTTTTTTAAATGTCTGTAGCAAGCTATGATGTCATGTAACCAAATTTATGTCTCCTAAAAATAAAACATCTGACTGTCACTCACGCGAGCTGCTTGTACAAAAGCTCCTTTGTGTTTGAGAACTTTAAGCCAAGCAGTCACAGTTTGTGGATTGCACGAATCCACTCGTCAAAGGTCACAGCACAGTGTGCAAGAGTGTGTTTGAGTAATGTATTATGAAAGACAAAAAAAAAGTGAATATCGTCTAAGAGGAAAAAATTACAGTTTTGGAGAGGATTCAGTATTCTAGTGTATCTGTGCTTTAAACGATTTCAAATAGCAATGTAATATAGGTTGGGTCTAATGTCCATAAAGCTGAAGTGTCCTGCAAAACAGATATAAGCCTGTTTCACACATTCACTGTGAAAATGTGATGGTTGCATGATGTAAACACCATCACCTCTTGCTCACAGTGGATTTGTCTGAATATTTCCTGCAGCGTTCTCACATCAGCTCACTCCAACTTGAAGTAGCTGGCAGGAAAAGTCCTGAGTAGAGTCCAGGTGAAAAATACAGCCAACTTGTAAGCAGTTATTTACTCTACACATTCAGCAAAACTGAGCAATGCTGTGAAGATTAAGACTATGATTCATATGAAAAATTATTTATGTACTATGTAGCCAACAGTAACGATCTTAAGTCTAATTGTGGCATTATCAAACAAGTCCTGTATTTATAAGATATTCATTGTGCTATATTAATTCCCACGCTTGGACAGTTGCGTTCCTGCCTGGGCCGTTTGCTGCATGCCCAAAAAATTACTTCAAAAATAAAAAACAAGAAAATTAATTCTCCCTTGGACAATTAAACCACTCCAGACTTTATTAAAATATCACCCCAAAAAAAGTATTTAAAACCCGGACCTAAAGTCTCTGAAATTAGCATTAGCCTGTTCCTGTGAGTCCCTTCTGTACTCTGTGTCCAGTGAAGTTCACTGTTCTTGTTCAGTGATGTTGAACATGAAGCCACCATGTTAATCTTTTCTAATTGAAGGGAGGTGGGTTGATAGCAGCTATATGCTGTACTGTATAATGACAAGGCAGGAACAGAGAAACGTCAGCGGCCGACCTCACAGGCCGAACAAGAGCCAGTGTGAGCTGAGGAACAGAGCAGGGGCTGCTGAGGCGTGACCCTCGAGTACCTGGGTGGCTGAGAGAGATTATCTCTCTGATTAATGTGCAGAGCTGCCTGGCAATCGCTGATTTAATGAACCATCCCACGAGGAAAATTACAAGGCAACGCTCTCAACCAAAGATGTTTGAAGATTCTTCTCAGTCAGCGAAAAACCTGCAGGTAAATCTGTCACCGTTAAACTCGAACTGAAAAGAGTTGGAACTTAAAATGCTTGAACATTATTATTTTAGTCTTGGTCGTTAAATTTTTCCACAAGATGCCCAAAAACCAAGTGATTCACATTACCATCGACAGAGTAATGCTGCTCGGGTGGCCAAAAAGGATTAAAACAAAACATGTAAGAGTGGTTTTCTTTGAGTGTTTTGTTTGTTAAAGCATCTTAGCTGGTTCTTTGAGTAGGGACAAAAGCCCAAATACAACACTTTAGGTTGAGGCAAGAACATTTAATCCCTCAATGTTCTCTGTCTGAATAAAAAAGAGGTTGAGAACATTTTCAAAGTGTAGAAATAGTTAATTTTCTGCTTCAGTCGAAGTTAAACATAGAAAAGAAGAATTGGAATTAACCTTTATGAATAAGTCATCTTGATTCAGTCGACGTCAACACAGCAAAAGAAAAGAAAACCTATCAAAGGTCAGTGTTAAACAGACAAGTTGAGCTTTTTGTTTGGTTGCCATGTTGATAACATTAAAGAGATCCTCAGAGGGTTGTTTTCTTTGGAAAATCACTCAAGTGTGACAGAAAACAGACACATGTTTCATTCTGAAGGTATGTCTGCGTCTGCAGCATTCGTAGGCCTTCCAGCAAAAAAAAAAAACATAACAAAATAACAAACACATGTACACGCAGAGAGTATCTGATTCAGCACCTTTTTCCCACTACTGATCAGGTCAAAGTCACCATGGTGTTAGGTGTGGTCTGCTTTTGTCGTAAAGATTACACTTTAAGTGAGCTCAAAGTCAAAAGAGAGTCCAACCCAGAGAGACTTCTGACATCATCATTATCCCGATGGTGCAATCGCATGCCAACCTGCTGCACTGTTACCAAAAAAAAAACAACAGACTGCTGCTATGTGGCTACTAGTCTGCTGGATTAGTCACATTATTTTCTTAATGTGTTCATTTGATTTAACCAAAAGATAATTATGATAAAGTTGGGAATTTATCTTATCGCTTTGAGTGGCTGAATTGTGATTTTTCAACCCCTTTGCATAACTTTTACGTTACTTATTTGCGGTAAACACTGGAACCCTTAAAGCTCCCTTGAGGACTTCTATGTTGTGTTGATTTTGGCGCCCCCTGGGGACAAAGCGGTTCATCTTATCTTTTTCGCTGATCTGCCCTGTCCATGTGTAGGTTGAACAGAAACTATAGCCTTGCCACAATTTCAACTAACAAAGCTACTTTTAGCTGTCTAAGAACTTTATTCATTAATTGTAGCTCAGTGTTTACAACACATACTGGTGATGTATCTCAACCATTTATCCACTACTTTTTGCTTAATTTTAAGCCCATTGTCATTAGCTAATTGATGTTTACTTGCTATAGATAGACCAAGTGGTCAAGCAACATATTGATGTACTGTACATCTATTCAATATTTATTTGCTATTTTATAGAACAGTGCAGCTGCTTCATATTCTTTCCACCTACTGCATGAAGTTGGAGAGCCTTGAATGTTACAAAAACACCTGGTTAGGTGTCAGCATGGTATCACCTCTTTTGTTATGTAGTATGGAGTTACAACCTCATAAAAGGAGGACTTCCACAGCACGCAAAAGGAGTGTGTGCGTGTTGTCTTACCTTACCACCAGCATTTTATTTCTTCTAAACTGACCTTGACTTGGATTATTTATCAGGGTGGTTATCTTGGCATTCAGCAGTCAATTGATTAGTGGAGTCACATGTCATGTAGATTATAACAACTCAGCAGGGAGGTCCCCTTACTCGTGTCATAAACACACGAAAGGTAAATAATTAAGGATCACAACTTGGCAGCTACTTACTTTATTGGTAACAGTTTAAATGTTGAGCATAGGCGCTTATACCTTGAGAAATGAGGCCTACATGTTGAACGTCTAGAATTTAGACATTTTTAAATCCAAAATTGAAAATCTAACATTTGGACATGTGCCATGTATCTTGTAAAGCAGTGTAGCTCGATCATCTTCATGACAAGGAGTAAAACTCAAAATGAAAGCCATAAACTGATGACCCCTGGTGACCTTATGATCATGAGTAGAAGCATAGATTTGTCCACACAGCTCTTTTTGTTAAACTTAGGGAAGAGAGACATAAAGTTGCCAGATGTAAAAAAAAAACAACAAACAAGCTTTTGCACAGTGTATCTTGCAGTCACAGTAAAATGTTCTTAACAACAAAGAATATTTTAATTGTTAGACTATTGTACAGTGTCCATTATTAAAATGCACTTAAGACTTTAAATATTATTGATGTTCAAATAAGCTCTTCAAATCATTTCTGTTTAGCTCCTTTGAACAGATGATGAAAATAAACAGCCCTGCACTTCGAATCGCGCAGTCTGGACACAAGCCTCTCCCACCGTAAAAGAAAAAAAGAAAAAAAGAAAAGAAAGTTGCGCTGTTTTCTCGTCGCCATAAATACAGACAGAGCGCACATCTGCACTTCAGATTGAGGCGTGGTCAGTCAGAGTTAACAGGTGGGCGAGTCAGTGCAGCTGCAGTCACACTCCATCCTGCAGGATACCTACAACCACAGCGTGTTGTCTCTCCGGTAGATTCACACACACACACACACACATCTGCTTCAACATGCCGAAGTGCCCAAAGTGCCAGAAGGAAGTTTACTTCGGTAAGACTCAAATATCTTCTTACTACTTGCGTTTTGTCTTCATCGTGTTTCTGCATGAGAACATTTCCTGGGTTCATTGAAGGTAGTTGCTTTTCTGCAAAACGAGGAAACAGGAAGCTGAGTGACATGCTGACAAGCACATGACTGCATGTAGGCATTGTAAATGCATTTTATGATATAAATAATATAGCATAATGAATCATGTATTATATGTGGAGAGTTTTAAATTTGTGAAAACATATCTCTTACTTACATAGTAGGTTAGGTCGCAGTAATCTTAGCCTATATGAAGCAGAACTGTTAGAAATGCTGATAAAGCTTTGGATATTTTGTTTATTTTGTATTAACATTTAAGAATGAATTGTTGGCTGTTGTTTTCATAGCATTTCAACAGCTTATTAAATTGCATATTAAATATTGATATATTAAAAATTGTTTGTTTTTTAGCTGTTCATTTGATGAAGCAACATGGTACTACATGTATTGTATGTGAAATCATAATTTGCAATACTATCTTGTTCTGTCATTGTGAAAGATAGCAATGGAGTTAATGGTGAGAAAGAATGCCCAATGAAATAAAGTGTAATAAGCCCATAGGAAGTTACAGAAATTCATTTTTTTTGTGTCGAAGCATTTGACAGAGCCTCAAAATTAATTTGACTGTTTAAACCTCCCTGATATTGAGTTACTTTGGAGTTGAAAGTTTTTGCACTCTGTGGAAATTCAGACGTTTGTCTGGATGACGAGGAGATAAAGTCTGCAGGGAGCAGACTAAGCTTTTTTTTTTTTTTTTTCCGTCCTGATACACGACTACATCCTCCCTGCGCAATCTTATAGTTCTGTCTCATGAGGGTACCATCAAAGCAGGGAGAAATTACTGCATCCAGGGAGCAAGAGGGACAGCTCCATTTTGTTCTAGTCTTAATCCATTTACCACATTGCCTGCATCTCAGTACTGCAATGGAGTAAATATTCTCCAAAGAGGAGCACTGAGGTCGAGGCCAATACAGAACACAAAGCCAACTCTTTGGACTGTCAGTCAGATGAATTGACCGTGAGACTGGAGAGCCATGCTTCCCATTCTTTTTTTTTTTCATGGATACATTTCCCCCCTCCTGGCCAAAATAAGTAGCCAGATTTTCTTTGGCCAGAACAAGCCGACCAATATTTTCCTTTCCTGTGTAGGATGAGAGAAAAAAAACCTCTTCTTTATTGTCTTTATCAATTTCCCCAACAAACTTCCTTTATAAACTTCCCAAATATAAGACAATCCTCCCCTTGCATCATCTGTCTTAATATCTTTAATCTCTCCGATGGAAACAATCAGGCTACTGCTTTCTCACTTAATGAGGAAGGGGAACTTGGTCCAGTTCCAAAAACACAAAAAACACACAAAAATAAGTTTTGATTTTGTTTACTCTGCATTTTATGCAGAACAATTGACTTCAGAAAAGCATTATCGCTTATAAACGTAGCATGTCAAATGTTTGTTTAATCCTTACAAAAAATTAGATATGACATGTTGTAATAAGTGTGTTTTTACATGCTGGTAGGCAAATTTATTTTACACTTGGACAAAGTGAAGCTAGCTTGTTACCTCTGTAAAGTCTCTGAGCTAAGTTAAGATGTCATAGCTTTGAGACTTTAGGACGTCTCGTTGCTGTAGCTTCAAGTACACCTGAAATTGTTACTAAACTAATTATATTAATCTCCACAAGACACACATTTAGTAACATATTCCACTCAAAAAAATAGAATTGCTTCTTAAGTCGTCGTAGAAGAGTTGGTAAAGTTTTGACAGAGCTACGTTGTTTCTCTCTGCTAATGTTAAGAAATAAGCTGACAGGCTGTTCTTTTTAAGAAGAATTGCAATTAGGATACATACAAACAAACGTCAAAGTAGTTTCTTTACTTCGAGTTGTAGAAGTAAAGAAATGCCAGAGTATTTATTTAAATTAAAGCTACAGGCAGCAGCTAGTGAGCTTAGCTGAACGTGCAGACCAAGACCATTGGGACACAACTACTGTGGCGTTTCCTAGCGACTAACCCTGAATCAACACATGTAAAGACCCCAGATCCAAGAAGGTGGCAGTGTTTTGCCAAGGATATTGTTTTAGTAAGCCTCTGAGTTGCTGGTAGCCTCAAATTAGCGTCTTATCTTCAGACAGAGCTAGGCTTTCCCACAGTTTCGGGTCTGTTCGCTAGGCTGAACTCACAGGCTAGCTCCCTGTACAGAAATGAGTATGAAATCAATATTTTCATTCATTTTTTCACCAGAAAGAGAATTAAGATTAATTGGTGACCTATGTAGCCTATTGTCAAATCGTAAAAAAAAAAAAAAAAAAACATTAGTGTAGCCTGCTTAACATTATTTAGCTTGAACAGTGTTTTACAATCTCCATGAATAATTCTTGGATATGAATCAAATAGTTGAAAAGCCTACTTCCAAGTGTGTTCATACATTCACATTCATATCTGTGTATTTTGGACTCCATCCCTAATGCTCCAGACAGTGCAAGTTGATGCAGAAAGCAGATCCCATTTTTCTCCTGCCTGTCACACCTCATGTCTTGTCATATATCATCAGGTTAAACACATGCCCCTTGCACACAAGCATGCTCTATTAAATATAGACACAAGAAAGAGTAAAACATTCATGGGCATCAACGCAACTTAATCTGAATGGATGATCTTAAACTGCAGGACTCCTGATTGCTCAGTCTGTTAGTAGTTTGTTTTCCTAAGTTAACTACTGTAATTATTACGGGTTAGACTTTTGTTCCAAGCCACAGCACATTTTTGCTGAAAAGTTTTCATGCCAGTGGCCTGAGTGGTTGACCTCGCCCTGCAGCACTTTCCCTTGTTTCCGTTGGCTGTTGCATAATCTCATAGCAAACCAGGCTATTTTAGGAAATACATCATATCCTAATATTGTGGGAACATTTGGAGACCATGGGGTTTGGCATGAAAACAGATGAAGTTGCGTTTTTCATACATCTGCACTGCTTCCTGATGATTATTTATATATTGTTTTATGCAAATTAAGTTTCACACTCCTCAGCTGCATCATAGTTAGAAAGATACAGCTTAGTTTCTTCACTTGTCTCTATTTGTTCAGCATTTCCTGTGTTTGCTCTCTCTGACCTCACGCTTGCACTGACTGAGTACCTTTATTTTTTTCAATTGCATGTAGACTCTTGGCCAGATTGTTATCAGGCTCAAAAGTGATCTGAACGGTTGTCCCTCTGTTAAAGATATGAAGTCAGTCACCTCTCTACTTTTACAGTCCCACGGATGGGCGTTTTTTGCAGATCAGTCCTGCGGATAAAGACCATCTTCATCAGAGGTTATTAGGCATGAGGAGGACAGATTCCCAAGGGACAATCAGTCCTCTTTTACCCTCAAGCGCCACACCCAAACAATGTTCTCAAAAGTTATCTACTAAGTCAGACATTAAGTTGTTCATCTAAGACTGATATCTGGTGACAGCAGCATGAGCTCATACTTTGGTGAGACTCATCAACTAAACCACAGACTAGATCCATGTGTGACCTTGTGACACTTACATCCCCTCTGCAGAGCACAGTAGCTCTCTTTGTGATTTTTTTGTGGTCATGATTAATTTGCTTTCTTTTGGTTTTGCAGCCGAGAGGGTGACATCACTGGGCAAGGACTGGCACAGGCCCTGTCTGAAGTGTGAGAAGTGCAGCAAGACACTGTCAGCAGGCTCACATGCAGAGGTGAGACACCTGAAATACATTCCTAGGTCCCAGCGTTTAATCAAAAACAGTGTAGGCTTTTACATCATCTCTTACTATGATACTGCTCTGCTCATTTCTACAACCCGCGAGCTAAATGTCAATACCAGCATACGGTCATTTTTTTGCCATGTTTAGCCAGGAATTTTATGTTTATGAAAATGTTGTGGTTCACTGTACAAGTGAATTGTTCAAGCTGCACCAGCAAAGCTCACAAATGTTGTGCTCACACTATACATGTTGAATCGGGACGGAAAACTCCCACAGATGGAAGTAGAAGTCAGATCTGTGTGTATTTTAGTTTTCGTGCAGGCTCGAACACAACCTCAATTAAAAGCTCTCTCGCACGCACTCAAGCATAGCAAATTAACACGAGCAAACTACTAAGCTAAACCGCAACAAATATTTCCTGGCAGCTGGAGGTCCGCACATAATTCCTCTCGTTCATATCTTTTGTGATTAGAGGATGAAGACACATCAAGAAGGTATGCCTGTGGTTGCCATGGTGCTTTTCAGTCAGTTAACGCAGGCGCCATCACAAAGAAAAAAAAAGCCCTTAAGTTTGGGAATCGGCTTGTGGCTTCTGCTCTCACTGTGCAAGTCTATTCAGTCGTACGACCAAAATGAAAAAAAATGCTAGAAAATCTCCTGACCGTTCAGCAGATTAATTTCTGCAGTAGACCGGGGCTATGAGCGACCCTTGTTACACCCTAAACACTGCTCGTCAAACAAGGTGTGATCGAGCTGTAATTCTGCCCCATTTCAAAATCAGTTATGCGATTTAAAAATCGCATCAGGAGCCTCCTGAATTCGCACATTGTATGTCTGGCCTTCATGTCAAGTGGTGAATTCATGTCTAGGCCCCTGAGTTCAAAATGAGTTATTCAAATTGTATGAGGTTTTCCAGCGCTTCCTTCTTCAGTCTTTTAATCTGCTTACTGCAACCCACAAGCTCACAGTCAAATGCAGTCTGGAAGAGTCAGCTAGTAGCCTGAATCATATTTCTATGAATGGATAAATAGGCACCTGAGATCAAGGGACTGTTTCCAACAACCTCAAAGCTTACTGGACAAAGTAATGTCGCCTATAAGACCCGTGTTTATGAAAAAATAAAACATTTTAAAAGGATAAAACAGTATTACTTAAATTGTCCTTTTAATGCACTTTAAATAACCAAGTTCTGATGTGTCTTTGCTTCCTGCAGCATGATGGCAAACCATACTGTAACAACCCGTGCTACAGTTCAATGTTTGGACCTAAAGGTGAGCATTGTTCTCCTTCATCTTTTTTTGCACAGTGAATGACCTCTCACTAACATTTTGACCCCTCTGTCAGTAACTTCAACTTTAAGTTACATTGTGACATGTATTGATGTGAATGATGAGTCCTCTGCTTTGAGGCTCTCAGCCAGGAACAACGCCCTGTGTGAGGTTTAAGTTTTTTATCTGACTTTGTCAAGGCTGTAAATGTCCCTATCAAAGCATACACTATCACCTACAAAATCACGAACTCAGCGAAGCAATTTTTATATAATCTGTAAGTTTCTCTTATCTCAAGTGAAAAAAGGTAGCATGGATCTCTGATGTGTAGGCTAGGCCATCCTCTTAGTAGTAGTTTATTTTCCCTTGAAACAACATTAATGATGTTAAAGTAACCTCACTGATGTAATTCTCCCTCTCTTTTTTTACCCTTAGGATTTGGACGTGGTGGAGCAGAGAGTCACACATTTACAACCAAGTAGAAAGGTAGACCCTTTATGAAATCATTTGCACATATTTGTTTGTCTCATTCATTGGCATAACATTTGTTTAGATAAAGACAGACATGGACTCTAAGCAAATAGACCCATTGTACTTTGTTCTGCTTTCTGTCTCATTTGTAGGTGCTGTAAAATGTTGCCTGGAAACTAGATCGAAGACGCCAACAGTCTCAACACGAGTCCCAATAAAAAAAATAAAAAAAACATGTGTGCCCTCAATCAGAAGCAACATTTTGTCTGCATGACTTTTGATTCAGTCCATGATCTCTGTTTTGTGTAGATGGATTGTCTATTCTAATGATACAATGATGAAGAGGTTGGCATCTAGTCTCTTCCTGTTTTTGTGGTGGAAAAACCTAATAAAAATATTTTAAATTTGTGAAATTTTTCAGATTTGGTTCCTCTTTACGTTAGAGTTGTTTTGTGCTGTTGACAACATCATTGATTTCTCTTGAGACAAAACGTTAAATATTAGAACTATAAAGAGCAATAAGCTAAACTCTTAAAGTCCTGTCTGCATTGGTCAACTTCTGCTAACTAGATCACAATATTTTTAGAGCAACAGTATGAAAAAAAGAACACACTCCCTTGAAATACTACAAATGAATACACAAAGTTTTATATTGATATCAATGTAGGAATGGCAACTGAAAATAACATGACTGAATGTTGACCTTGGAAGGGGAGAAAATTGATTTTTTGTTTACAACAATTCTATGACAACTGGGCATAGTCCATCACATGAGGAAAATGAGTCTCAAGGATTGTAAGCTGCAGATCAGCGAGTAAATTGATTTTGTGGTGAGATTGTTTTCCCATCTGTTTCTAGGTTCAGGAATAAACCTTCGGTCTTCAGTAAGGTTTAATTGACTTGATCCTGCTCGGAATATCTTACATTTTTTTAGCGATGGTTAACAGCAATCAAAACATAATCATCAACCTTGCCCGCGCTCTTGCATTGTGGGTACTGGCCCGGAACAGCTGAGGTCTTTGAGTCTCTGCAGATCCACCAGATGCTTCCTCTTTGGTTCCTTTTCGGCTCCTCTGCCAAATCTTTTTCTGCAAGGCCACCCTCATTGTGTTTGAATCACGCAGCAGCCGCCCGCCTCAGCCAGTGACTCTGCCGGAGTTGCTATGGCAACAGACACAAACAAAACCCAACAGACAGCTAGTGGGCCTGTCGGTCTGGCTGTCACCCTTTTTCCCCTCTGCAACAAAGACCTTCACTGTCACAGGAATCCGCTCAGCCAAGGCCACAGACACAAGGCAACTGAAAACAAGCAGAGGGAAGCACTTTTTAGATGCTGTAAAATGAAATACACGTGCAGTGCATGAATTGTTCCAATGGAGATAAGTATTTCACTGTTTTGACATGGTTTGGTGGAGTGTTTCAGATTCCTTCCTGTGATAATAATAGCTTACATTTTTGAGTGTGCAAATAGCTCTTTCTCACTCAGGCTTCTGCACAGGAAATACCAGCTATTTGGTTGTCAAGTGGATTCATCCGGATGTTTGTGTGCAACTTGCAGTTCAGTCAAGTTCACAGTTAGATGGTTATCTTTAGCTGCTAATGGTCTCACTGTATATAGGCTACTTAATTTTCTGGCATGAAATTAGAAACAGTATCATAAAGGCTGTCAGTACTTTTACATTGACTTACAAGTTAGTTGTTTTTTTTAGTCTGCTGAGCAGAGGTACAGGGAAGTGAAGTCATTTACAAATGAAGACTCGCTGTCTCAGCAAGATTACTTGAGTCAGGAAGCTGTAAAATTTGACCCATAAACCTATTAAAAGCTGGAAAATAACTTTAGAGTAACAGCCGTTATAGCTCATGCATACATGCTGAACTGGTGGTTATGATTCTAGGTCATCTTGAAAAAAAGTCCATGTGTTGTGCTATCATGTAAAGAAAGTATAGTGACCATAGCTTCAGGTATAAACATCCAACAAACCAATCATTTTTATTATGAAGGAAAAATAAAGTCAGATAAAAAAACCAAAATTGTATGAAATAAATAAATGATCTGTTAGTCTCTTCTTATATCCCACAACATTTGTTTGATAAGTTGAGTTACTGTTGACTCTACACTCAGACAATATTACTAAAAGTTATGACCTGTATTTTTATTTATTTTTTGCATATCCTGTGTTTTATGTTTAGTCTCCCAGTTATAAAGTATTTTAAAATATCTCCTTCTTCAGATGACACACAAAAGTCTTCAAAAAGACCTTTGATTCAAATCCTGTATAATGTACATTATTTAGAACTTTGCCATTTGGGAAATATGTACTTTGAAATAAAATCTAAATTCTGTGGTAGTACTGCTCAGAAAAAAAGACTGAGATACTTCTTCCATCACTGTATTCAACTAATAACAAAATATCGACTAAATTTTCCAATTAAAAGAAACAACTCTTTGAGCTAATTTTAACCATTCCTTGAGGTTAGTTCTCTGGCGGCCCCTAGTGGCTCCCAATCACACTAACACTGAACTGTCACATGGTGCATGACAAGGCCAAAAGAGTGTGTTGGTATAAGAAGCAGAGTTGCCATCACTAACTTGATATAACTACCTTTCCCTGTCATTCTTGTGCAACCAGCTGCAGCTAGCAAGCTTCAGCTTTACATGCCATGAGTGCAGGGAAGGTAAGCTGTCAGGTTATTTCAGGTCTGTTATTTCTGTGACCTGCTACAGCCAGAGACACCAGATTATTTCAGAGCATTTAATAGACTGATTCTGTACGGTTAAGAAATAAAGAAAAAAATGCTTCTAAAAATAAATAGAAAACAATGGTTTAAAGGAAGACTGTGTGACATTTTCCATAAATATAACAGAAATCAAGCACATCCTATGTAACTGTCTCTTTGAGTTATGACTGTCTACAATGAGAGAGAAGTGTGAGTCTCGCTGGCTGTGTTGTTGTGAGAGCTGTGTTTACATCATGTTTACATGGACGGGACGGCCGGCTGCTCTCGTTGCATATAGAAGCTGTTTTAGTCAAGGACTACAGAAAAGAAGAATACATACCCACTGCCATTTGGATGTCCGTAACTGTTTTCAGATTACGGTCAGTCCGTGTCAATATAGATGCAATATGAAGCTACGAGCTGACTGAAGTGTGCTAACATTAGCTAGCTCAGACAACAACACTGGCTGCAGGCAATTGCAGCGTGAGCAAAGGACAATTGAGTCCGCTGCTTGCGCTTGACTCCTTCATGTGAACTTGAGTCGAGGCGGGTTGGAGGTGTCGCTGAAGGAGAGTGGAGGCTTCAGCGTGGCAAAGGTGCCGCCAAAAAGCAGCTTGTTTAGGTTTCGTGCTCGTGCTCAAGGGCGACATCCGCTGACACATTCTTCATTTAAATCAACTGCAAAACACAGACATCTTTTTTCAGCTATATTTTCAGACTGAAAGACTTTATAAGGTGAATACGTTTTTGCTTTAGCTGGCACATTATGGCATATAAAAGACAATCCATTGGCCTTTTATAAGAGTTCCCCACAGCATGTCTGCTCCTTCTGATTTTATGACACCATCTTTACTACTGTTATTTGAAAAAGAGAAAACACAACACAATTAAAGAATAGGAAAACGACTTGATTTCCTGGAGCACAACAGTAAGACGTTAAACTGTATCAGATGTGTGGAGCATGGAAGTCATTAAGCCCGGCCTGCCAGTTTTATTACAAACCAGTGAACGCACACGTGCATCAACTATCATGCTATCTGGAACATCTGTCTTTCCTACATGATTAATGTTTTTAATGTTGACCACTTAAAGTCATAAAGTTTATTGTAAAAAGAAAAAGATCTTTACAATCAACACACTGAATACTCCACTCAGAGTTTCCACTCCTGTAACCTGTGAATGCAGAGCATGAACAGGAGGTCATGTTTACACCGTACTCACAATTTTAAACTAATTTAAACTAAATGTTAACAATCCATCCATCTGACAGGTGTGGCATATCAGGGTGCTGATTAGGCAGCATCACTGTTGCACAGGTTTGCCTTAATCTAGTCACAATAGAAGGCCTAAAATGTGCGATTTTATCACACAGTTCAATGCCGCAGATGCCCTGAGTTTTGAGGGAGCGTGCAACAGGAGCAGGAATGTCCATCAGAGCTGTTGCCCATGCATTAAATGTTTATTTCTTTAACATGAGCTGTCTCCAAAGTCGTTCCCTGTGCAACCTGGCCACATTGAACCCTCCCTCTTAACATCATTATCAATGGCCCTGCTCTGCACGTCTATAATTCATTGTATGAAACCCCGAAACATGGCCAGCATAACGTCTTGTCTTGAGAAATTGTAACACAGGGAGCCCTTTCAGCTCTGTGGTTCAAGCTCCCCAGCGTCTTGTTGGAGTCTGTATGAACGTATCAATCCAGAGGCCCCAGCAGTGTTATATTAGCAGCAGATGAGCAATTCATCGTTGGAGGGAGCAGAGTCGTGGCTGTTGCCCAGCACAATCTGGTTCTTGTTCCTGTAACTGAATATCATAGCTTTCCCAAATACTCCCTCTGTTCATCTCTTTGTGTTCACTCCTTGATTCCTTACTTCAATCCTTTCCTATTTATTCCTCCTTTTTTTTCTTCTCTCAAATCATCACTATACCTCCTTTGTTTTTATATTCCTGCCTGCCGTCCTCCCTCTCGTTTTACGTACCAGGTCTGGGCTGCAATTAATGAGTGCTGCTGGGTGTATCTTTTTCCACTGCGGCTCCCTGTCTCAGATGTGTATAAATAGGCCTCTCGCGTTACGATTGCTAATAAGGATCAAATGTGTGTGTGTGTGTGTGTGTGTGTGTGTGTGTGTGTGTGTGTGTGTGTGTGTGTGTGTGTGTATGCAGAAAAGGCGAGCTGCTGCCATTAGGATTTGTACTGCAGCCAGCCCCCCCGAAATTGCACACAGGAAAGAGCTTTATCAACGACTCCAAGCCCAGGAGGAAGCCTCTGCACTGGGGTAGATAATGAGGTGGCTAGACCTCTGAGGCCTGGATTTACAAAAACTTCTTGGTGCATCGTCCTTTTTTCCCCCATTACAGCAAAGGAGTCGAGCAAACACTCTTCTCCTCCAGTGAGGCGTCCAGCAGCCACAATAACAAGAGTCTCCCATTAAAATGCAATTAAACATCAGACATCAACATTAGCCAGGCTGCTATGAACATGTTTACCTTTGACTATTAGAAAACATGTGAT